CAAACTCCAAACCTGGACTTTGTTGATTCCAAACCTCATAGATTTTCCGTAAATGGAACAAATAAATTAGCGACGCGTTGGCAAAGGTGTATCGATTGTAACGACTCAGAAGCCAAAGTGACTAACTCCATAAAATAAAATTTATTAAATTTGCTTTATTTGTGAAAAATTAAGCACCAGGCATGCGCTTCGATTCTAAAATTGGAAGAATATGAAAAAGTAGAGTTGATCATTTTGGCTTCTGAGTGGCTCGCACAATAACATCACACAGGATTGTCATTCACCGAAAATGAAAGTAGTATTCAATAACAAATAGTCAACTAGCGACTTACACCCAAAGTAAAAATTACGATCATAATGGTACAGTGCACGATTGAAACGATACTCAACTACGGTAAAATCTTTGAACGCGGACATCTTTTATCAACTTCGTGATCGTGATTAAAGCTAACTGTACACGCAACTGCAAAAATTGGCAACCATTTTACAAAATTCCTGTTGTCTCAGTTTCCTCTATTGTCGGCGGAAACGATCATGAAACACTTTCAACTCGGATTTCTAGGTTCTCGTTACAGGCGAGTCTTCCTCTCAGTTTCACCGCCAGTCAAGCAAATGCAAAGATAAATTCCGACATAATGCATGATACCGCAGCTCAACATGCTGCACTTCTGCGGTGCGAGAAAAAGCATAGGATCCTTTGCTGTCTTAATGGTCGTTAGTTTCTAGTACGTAGGAACACTGGCTTTCCTCGCCTCGAGTGACTTGGTGAACTTTTTAGTGTCAATGCTCCCGTGATCAAATCTATCGTCCGTTCTTTAGAACGTTGGCCAAGCTTATCTGTGCAATTTTATTCTATCAAGTCTATGCAAAAGTTTCCATCGCATATTTTTCAGAAACGGACATTTGTTTTCATTATACGTAATACATTCGGTAGAAATACCAAACTGTGAAAATTTAAATAAGGAAAGAAGCGTACAGTGTCTTTCAGCGTGGAAACTTTTGCATAAACCTAATACAATAAAGCTTACCGCATAATTAATTGTCTAAATAAACTTTTTTTATCAGCTTGTGTACTTTCAAGACATTTGTAAATCAGCAGAGTGTATAGAGATTATATCAGGAAGATTTCAGAGAATTTTTTTAAAATTTTATTTATTATCGATTTTAAATTGGTAACGAACATTTTACGCTTCCAATGTATCGGGTGTAGAAATGAATTCTTTCCGACTTTTGGGTACAATCAAAGGTTTACTTAAAATGTATGAAAACAGGTCAATCGTTAAAATAATTTCTGTGATTGTTGATGACCTTTTGCCATTTTTCCGGTAGCTCGCGAATACCATCGTGGCTTTGAATCAATTATGTATACACCTAATGCTTTGCTTTGTCAAAGTGTGAATAATCGAATTCTAAAATCTGATCGTATTGGAAATGGGTTATGGAAATGAAACAGTCGTTTAACTTTGTGATGTGCTATTTATTGACGGACTCAGAGGAAACGTCTTTACGCTAAAGGACTGTTTCTGGGCGCCCAAAAGGAAAATTGGGGTCCCCTTATACCTAGGAACTGTTTACATGAGGCGTGTCCAACCTGCGGCCCGCGGGCCGCAATGTGCCCCTGAACAGCACAATATCGTAAACTTTGAACATTATTGTGTGATTTTTAGCGACATTTTTCACGACTCAATTGCATTATAATAAAACATATTAAAAAATAAAGGAGGTTTTGTTACTTATGTACGATTAACTGTATTATATATTTCGTATGACCCAGGCAAATCGAAAGGTTGGACACCCGTGGCATACATTATGGTATCGCATTGTGCAGTGCGTGACTCGAAGACGGACACCCAGGACACACCTGATGGGAGTCCTTAGTGCCTTTGTTTAAAATAACCCAGAGACACTTTTGTCCTCACTTGATTATTTCCATAGGGTGTTGTTAGAAATAATCCAACAGATCGCTTTCATTTCTTTTAACGTGATCGTAGAGCAAACTAAGCTTTTCGCAAATATTACCATACATTGTTTCCTATTAGGTCATCCCGTAAGTTCGTGTCGAAATTTATAATTTAAATTAATACTTCCAACAAACCTTTAAATTTAATAAAAAGAAAAACGTAAGCGCCATCTTGTTTCGCAACTTTTTCCTTGAATTTCCTTAAAGTATTTTTCGTTCTCAGCATGGACTTATGGGATGACCTAATAGATAAAATGAGAAATTTTGCCAGCATTGTAACTGATGTTGCGAACATATTTCATATTGTTAATTTTGTTTGATAAAATATTCCTACTCTCTGAACGGTTGAAGAAGATTCTTGACCTTACGCAAAGCTGTGGCAAAAGGAAAGAGAAACATCGACAAGGTTAAATGTTTTGTAATGTGTCTCTTAAAATATATTTTTATAATACCATCGTAAGTTGCATTACATTTCGTTGCAAAATGAATTGAAAGGTAATTACTTAAATCGCTGTATGAAATATTATTTTCTGAACATATTTAATAACAAAATTGCTTCGAAATAAATTAACAATAATAGTTCAAAAAGGAGTCACATGGGACAGCAAATACGAAAAGAAGAAATTCTTCCGTGAAGAATTATTTTACTTCAAGTATATTGAAAATCTTAGAAGGGTTTCACGCGGAATACCTTGAAAGGCAGCTTAACTTTCGAAAGATTTGACAATTGTTATAAAACTTGTATAAAAACTTCCTATTTAAAAAATCATAACAATTCACGAAAATAATAAATATAGATTACGTATTATGTATTTTATGAAATGTTTAAACGATGTACTAATTTTCACAAAAACCAAAACTAACATCATCAATTAATTAATGATCCATTCTGCTATTTATATAAATGCAATTTCTGTAAAAAATAATTGCTACATAATTTTAGCGTTAATCAAAACTAGCATTATCGATAAGGATTAATTAATAATCCATCTAGCTATTTATACAGGTAAGTACAATTTCTCGCTATACCTGTGAAAAATAATTACACCATACTCGAATTGTGCTGCCCTTCTAATTCGGAGAGCACAGATTTTTACTAAGCACGAGATTCCCAGTAGAAGACAGATTTTCCTTTTTTCCCTCGATTTAAGACTGGCCGTTGGCTTTAGAGTGGTAACCCTAGCGCAGCAATGCCTTAGACCGGTTCTACCAGATAAGTCTGAACAACTACTATCATGAAAGCAAGTTAAAACACCTACGAATTATACGATCTTACGGTACGTTGCACGAGCCACCGGCGTGTTTTCTTTTGCTGAAAATCAAAATGCAAGACTAATACGCTCCCAAGGAATTAATGATCTCTGTACAACTTCCATACCTTATCGATGACCTACTTCTTTTCAACTTTCAACGTGATCTTCGTAATATGCAGGAAAGAAAATGCTTTTTATCAAAATGTTCCCGCATACCTTCGTCGTTGAACTTCAATAAATCGCAACACATTTGGAGATAATGTGAACGACATTTATTTACGTGAAAGTATCGTATGTATTTTAGTTTGAAAATATATTTACGGATTTTTACATTAAGGAATAACAAATATCGTATCCCACGAAACAAGAAACTATTATCCCATATTTTGTTGGAAAAAGAATTGTTCAAATAAGATAATTAGAGTAGAAAAGAAGTGAAATGTATAGAGAGAAAGCTTTGAATATTTTCGATACGTAAATATCATTTGAAGCTACATCACTATTATCACAAATTTTTATGATTGCCGAGTTAATTAATTTGAAGAACATTTTGCGGGCATTTCAGGTTAGGTTAACCTTTAGGATTTAGTAAGAAACTTGCATAGTTATTAAAATTATTATGTAGACTTAACGAAAATAATTCATATTCGAAATAACGTGTAAGAATATTTATCATTTTAATAAAAGATGTAAAAGTTATCATAGATTGAGTAACAAAAACTTTGTTGTAGTGATAATTGTTTGTGTAATATGCGTTAAACATTGCCGTATATTACGTAGTTCTAAACGCAATAAAATGAATAGTGTGTTCATTTTTCTCTACAAACATAAAATGCACAAACGAAATATGTAGCTCGTGTTAGATGTCGGTTATGTAATATAAACCGTTTGAAAAAAGTGCAATTCTACTTTGAATTACAGGGAATACTCATAAAAGAGATTTAACGTGCTTTGTGTTGGAGGATCGATAAAATTCACTAACGAAGTACCTGTCAGATTATATTAAGTTAAACGACAATCGACTTTACTTTTCTATTTTACAATTTACACTGTAATTTACGGTTAATATTTTAACAACTACAACAATTTTCACCATCTGAAAAATTCTTCGCGGAATATCACATTACAAATAACATAATTCATGAAATAGCTGTAAAATAAAACAAAAATGTTTAAAAGAACTAAAATAATTTTAGGATCAATTACAACTTGGTTTGTTTGAAGGAATTCGCAGATCTGAAAACGTAATCCTTCCATAGAACGAACAGTGAAATATTCATGTCACGTGACAATCTATCCGACTCACAATTATTTCGTTTAAGATCTACCTGTAATATATGCATTACTACGCTGAACCAGGCCCAAGAGTTGCATAATTGTCATTTTAAATGAAACTCTGCTACACAACTGGTACATGTTTACCGATTATATAAGTTACCTTTGTGCAAGCAAGAAGAAAATCCAACAAATTACCGGTTTGTTTGTAAAACGGAATAAAGGATCTATCAAACTAGTCGTCCGTCACTAAATGTCAAATTTTATCAACTGTAACTGCTGCGAAGGAAGCAGGTTATCCAAGAGGTTATGAGAGTACGCCTGAAGATATTTGAATGACAATATCTATTCGTTTAAAAAGATCGAAATACAGAGCATAAAGCAAGAAAGGAGGAACTGATACGATTTACAAATTTATAGAAGCACAATTATATTGAGAGCATACGTTCGCCTGACATGCTCAAGGAAACCTGTTACGAAGGTACAAATATATGTCTTTCCGTGGTACTTACCTTCTCCTTCGCTCTGCCTGCATGTTTTTGTACTGTCTTCGCAATCAACGCACCCTTACTTTCAGCCATTTTCTTCACGTTACTTGAAAAGTGGTGACTTTGAAACTTGTGTCCGTAAAACACTAAAATTCAACTTCGAAACCTGGCCGACTTTATTTGCTTCCACACCGAACCACAACCAAAACGCATAAACGGAAGCGCGGAGAAACACTGAAGACTCGGCACAAAACTGCGCGCCGAGACTGGGTTATCACATTTTCATAAGTCGACACGTATTGGCAGCACCGTACACGCTAGCAAACACTTCACCGGTTGGTATAACAGAACAGAGATGATCCATTTGATATAAACGAAACATTGATGAAAGCAAGAGCGTATAGAAAAGAAATTTGTTCAATTCAAACTTCAAATTAAAGTTTAAAAATAACATTTTTATACTGATCTATAGTATTACAATAATGTATTAAATTTTATAGTATTTTATGGTATTCAAAATCTCAATTCTATGATATTAAATTCACACTAATTTTTAATAGCATTTTTAAGTGTTCACATTGATTTAGAAAAAGTGGACAAAAGATATATACGGTAAAATCACGTACACATAATTAAAAATGAATCAACATTGTATTAAATTCTCGAATCTTAATTTAATAACTTGCTATTCTTTTAAACAAAATCTTAATAACAGTAAGTGTTATCCATTGAAGAGACTTGTACAGAGCAGGCTATTATGTTGTATAGAGTACTTCATGTACATATATACCGCACTGCATTCAATATTAATTACAAATTAAACATTGAGTGACTCCTACTCTTTTCACTTATATCTGATAATTAATTTAATAAGAATAATTTTCCAAAAAAGTATTCAAAGTTAAAATATAAAACTAATTGATAACTGATAACTGAAAAAAAAAACGAAAAACAAAAGGATGAAGATGTTATAAACGTTTTCAAAAATTGAAATATTATAAATATATTGTATATTACAATAAAAGAACATGGATTAATAATATTTATCACACAGCATTCTTGATTTGTAAATGATTTTATTAATAAATTATTTTTTCTTATTTTGTGATGAGGATTGCTCGAAATAAACAAACGTTATGATAAAAATCCACTTTAACAACGGAACAGACAGACAATACAGAGATGTAATATATCTGATAATAGAAGGTGATAGATTTCCTTACGTAAATGGTCTATCCAAAATTGCAATTGACAAAAGTATGTGTCGCGGGACGCGCGGAATGTTCTGTACATGTCATATACTCACTGTACCTAATATAAATTTGCTTTAGTCTTGGAAAAATTGGATAAGGCCATAAACCAAACTGGCGACAAAGTGGCGCCAGATCCTCGATTCTACCACAATTTTTTTCTTATAAAACCGATCCTCTCTTGCACTCTCACTCGCTATTTCACTCCCATCCATTCTCACGATTACGTAGTTAATTGGTAGTCCGTCCAGTAATCCACTTGTCACAGTCTCACCATTAACTACATCGTCTGATCCATCTTTTATTTTTGCGCCTATTTCTCGAGATTTTGTCTTTCCATTTTAATCTAAATTTTGCGTTTCTGACTTTTTTAAATACAATTCAAAAGTGCTAAAGCGCCAAGTGTAAATAGTTATTATTTTTTTGAAATCATAATTGTAATTTAATATTAATAATAATATTAATGATCATTACCCATTAACTTCGCACTTTAATCATCACGAGATGTGTCAGCGCTATGGTAACTTCAGAGACAGAAATTAAAGGTAATCATGGATTTACAGCAATTTTGATTTTTTTGTTTAATATTATATTCCGAACATTTAGATTTGTTGTGTATAAACAATACTATCCCACAAGTAATTCTATTATGTTATTTTAAAAAGCTGTATGATTTAGTAATATAAAAAACATTTAACTGTTACAGCTGAACGTCTGTAATTTGAAACAGGAAGATATTACAATGTTACTAATCAAATAAATTTATATTATATTAGAGCATAACACGTAGCACATGGAATGCCCAAGAGTAAATAACAATAACCTTAACAGCCATGTTATGCGTGGCATATTGCTATTGTACATAGACATCTGGAAATTAAAATTTACTAAAAATTACAAGTTAGGATACCACAATGTCAATTATGTTTTCGTGCCATTTCACAATTTCTTTCAAGATTATTATTCCTTGAAACACCAAAATTAACTTATATCAAAATGATGTAACTGAAAATATTAAAATACTTTTTACGTGCTAAACTGATTTGTTTTAGTTGATATAAATTATATCATTTTCTTTCTTTAGTATTACTCTAATAAACGAAATATACTTTTTTTCAAATTCCTCCATTCTTATTATGTAAATTCCTATCTTAATACGTCTTTCATAGATATAAGCTCAATGCATGAGCAACATATATTTATCTCTTTATTTTCTGTCCCAAAAATCACAGAGGCGTAATGCACCTCAATGTATGGTGTAAACCTGTACAAAAGTTGTTCCTCATTTACTCTATACTTATTCATGGTACAATAATAATGTATTTAAAATGTAACTTATGTAACCTTAGTACTGATTAACGATGACTGCATTCCAGCGTGACCAGCCTTTGGCCGACTGGAGCTAACAGACAAATATGCTCCTTCAAGTGTAAAACTCCACTGTTGCCTTTTTCAAGTCCTTCAATATCTGATCTTCCACCCCCTATGCAACACCACTAATACTCTAACTATATACTCTATATAAAATATCGTTAGTATAACTAAAACGCGCTGTGCCCAGCTGGAATGCAGTCCTATTTTATGCCATCATTATCCTCTTTTTCGTTCTCATTCACATTCCTCTTCTCCGCAATGGTAATCATATGTTGTTCCACAGACAATTTGTCAGTCAATGATTTACTGATAAATTCACACCACTAACTGTAGTCTGTCATTGGTCGGTCAATTAGTTTGATTCCCAGGTGTTCACTCGGCGTCTCAATTATTGTTATTATTTATATGAATTTTACACTCATTTAACAGCATCAAAAAACCTGCTCTTTATGGTTCTAGTTCCCTGAATCTCCTCCATCTTCATGTTTTCTCTTCTTACCTCGAGCAGGACACGATTCTAATAAAATGATTAAATAAATGTAATACAATTTATTGCATTATATCTTGACAAAATTATGGTTAGCTTCTTTCCTCAATAAAGAAAAATACTTAAGACAACAAATGTAATTTTTTAAAACAATCTTGATATTATTAAATAGATATTATAGTGTAAAGAATGAAATAAACGATTCTATTTTAATTAAAAACTATACAGAAATAAATACAGCGGATTCCGGTTAATTGGGACACATTGGGACAGGACTAATTTGTCCCAAAAAACCGAATTTCAACGTATGTAATATTCGGTCTTGAATACAAATGTGTGTTTAAGCATGCAAACAAAGCTTACAATAAGTAATAAAATAACATAAATAAGTAATCAAAAATAAGTAAATAACTGTATATTAGTTATTTACCTTCTTCTTCATCTTGTTCATCATCTTCATTGTCATCATCATCTTCTTCTTCTTCTTCATCACAAAGGAATTCATCTTCGTCACTTTCATCCTGCATTACATTGATAGAAGAAAATACATCAATATTATGTTAATCGAAGTTTATAAAAGTTAACAACATTTACAATTTATTTACAATAATTTTTAGATCAAACAATCTATAATTAATCTATGACTGAATTTCTATATCCTTTGTATACTTGAATTACTATATTACTATTTGTATTCTAGCAATAAAAGCATAAGGTATCTATAACTTACTTCAAGCCCAACCTTGTATACAGCTTCTAAACCTACACCACCATCATCAAAATCGTCATCCTCTTCTTCCTCTGAAACTAAAATTTCATGTCTGTGATTGAAATATGAATTTTTTTTCATGGCATATTACCTATTGTTTTATTAAATACTCTAAGAACATAAATGTTCTTTCAATGTTTAACTAACCTTCCTCACTATCTTCTTCATTGGCATCTCCATCTCCATCTTCATTCCCATTTACTTCATCATCCTCTCCTTCACTGTCATCTACTTCACAATCGTCTGTGTCAAATCTATTATATAAAATACAATGTTTTACAGTTTATAAACTTCGTGTATTGAAAAATGATTACATAAATTAATGAATTCCTCAATTTCCATCAAATTACATACCCATCAAGACATCGAAGACTGGGAATAAGGCTAAAAACTTTCTCTTTATAATTATCCAAAATTGTCACTTCATTATTAAAGAGATCCAGGCTCTTTAAATTCTTAAACTCTTTCTGCAAAAAAGAAGAGAAAAAAAAAACAAATTTAATATATTTATAGTTAAAGAAAATATATACATAATATGTAAATCTATTTAAAATACTAAAACTTACTAAAGGTTGAAGTGCATCAAGATCTTTGATCTTGTTCCCACTAAGATTAAGATGAGTTAATTTAGGGCTCGACTGGAGAAGGTTTAAGCCACCAGAAATTCTGTTGTCACTAAGTTCCAACTGTACCAAATAAAAGTAGCAATTGTAATTAGTCTTCTGTAATATCACACTCTTATGTTTTGATCATAATAAAAAATTATGTTATATGTTATTCTTAACTTAATATAAGTAACAGGAAGTAATTACTTAAAATATATTTCAGTATGCATTATCTTTTATTGACTTTAAAATCATACATGTGTTTAAAATCACATATTTACTTACCTTTTTAAGACTTGATAATTTTGGGAAGCCTTTTAGACTGGTAAGACCCACATTGATGAGACTTAGCGATTCTAATGCAACAAACTCATCTGTTAGACCTACAATAGTCGTACTTCGACAATTGTCAAGAACAAGTTCTTTGATCTAAAAAAAAAAAAAAAACAATTTATATATAAACAATGTAGTCCCATTCGAAATACTAGATTGAATCATAAGTTCTTGTTCAATTTACATGATTTTACTTTAACAATTTATTATTTTATTTAAGTAATATTATTCATATGTGATAAGATGATTTAAGATCATAAAATACAATGACCTTTATAAATAAACCTTGTATATAAACTGCACAAAGACTGATTCGCCCTAGCACATAATATTTCAAAGTATTTTTAAACTAGTATGCCACATTCAGTTTCATAAGGGTGAAAAATGGTAGAATAAATATAATACACATAACATTATATTTTTATTTATTGAATGTATGAAAAAAATCGAATGTAGAAACATATGATGGAGTGTTACAATAAATATAATTTCATGTACAAACGACAAAAGCTAAAAAAAAAAAAAAATCAATGTTTGTTAATTAAAAATCAATTTATTTCTGCCGCACTAATTACTTAAAATTTAGTAATTAAAACTGAACTTTTCAATTATTAAAAAGCTGCTTTAATTGGAGAAACTTTGTATACAACAAGATTATTGTATTCTCAAATGTATTTGTAAGCAAGCTCTACTGTAAAGGTGTGAATATGAAAACTTGGTAGTATATGAAAAAGTCAGGTAATAGTCGCTGAAATTCAAACGGACGATAAGCTTTCGCGGGAGATGGGCTATTTTATTGATCGGAGAAAGAGAAAGGTGAAGAGAGAGGGGAGATAGAAAGGAGACAGAGTAGAAACAGGGGGAGAGAAGTGTGAGGGGGTGTTCGGGATACAGGGGGGATAGTAGTAGAGTGCACGACGCGTCTTGTTTAGCGGCATCAGAAAAGCCGGCAAGCGATAAGTACTGACTACGGCACGCGACAGAAACGAATCTGAGTAGTCTCGAGTTCTAATGTTATCTGAATTCATTTTAACGCAAGTTAAAATAACTTTCGATATAATTCATTTTATCTCAAATTTCATCTACTTTAAATATTACAAATATGATTGTTTACTTTTTTTGATTGTTTGAAAGAAATTTTATATATTAAATTAAAAGATTAATTTGTTAATTGCTACTTTATCAAATTTGAATTTATGAAGAAACATTATAAAGCCGAATACACTATTGCGTAGCAAATTTTAGTGACGACAAACCGCTTTCACGCGAAGCCTCGAAGTCGTTGCATGTCCTTATCTTAGATTCACTGCCCGACATTCCGACCGGCCGGCTGATTGGCTGCGCTGTGCGTTGCACTGATCGTAGTGGAAGCGTTTACAAGAAGTTGTCGTGGCTTATAGGAGCGGATCAATGACAGCTACAAGTTAACTGATGGATAGAAGGCGATATATGATGAAACCTTAAGAATAAATCAGCTAAAGAAAATATTTTTTTCTCTGAAAATAACTGACAGAATGATTTTGTATGTAAATCAAAAGAGTAATTTAGAATATTAAATTTTTCAAATAAAATTGAGAAAAGAATAG